TATTCAAAAATATATAAAAATTTACATAAAACAGTTAAATAATGTTGAAAACAAAAAAAAAGCTAATTTTACCAATTAGATCTCGGTGGAATCTTCGGTGGAACTTTCGGTGGAAAGTTGCTTTCAGCGCCATCTGTTGTTGTTTTTCTCAACTATAAGCTAAAAGTAACAATTTGAACTCAATTTTCAACCCATTCACATTGGTTTTTTGAGTAAATTGATAAATGCATCTATTTATTTTCACATAAAGAATTAATAAATATAAGTATTATCCTTGCATCTCATCTAATTAAAGTTTTGTTTATTTTGGTTATTTTTGGTTATTTTGTTTATGTTGGTTGTTTTTGGTTTTTTTGTTTCATTTTGGTTTTTTAGTGTCACCCTGAAAAATCGAAGCTCGTACTTTAATTTTTTGATGCACCATTTTCAAAGGGTAAAACTCAACTAATACCAACATTATTTTCCTGATGATGTTTCTTGGAAATAATAAGTCTGGCATCAATTTACAAATATGCAAAAGCAGGAAATGGAATTAATTACAATGTTTGTTTACCAGAATGAAACCTGAGCACTGTAAGGATTACGACAGAACTTTCCGAACAACCTAATAAAAGGGTGTAGCCTAGTGGATAAAGGAGTAGGTCAAAATATCAAAGTTTTGGGTCCAAATCCTGGTGACTTTTTATTTTCAATTAATCTATAAGAATTAGAAAATTCAATTGAAAATTTTCAAGAAATTTTTGATAATTAAATACATTGTATCAATGTATTTTTTATTATTATTATTGTTCAACACAATTAATAAGCAACAAAAATTTCACCATAATTTCGGTATAATCTATATCGAGCAATACTAAATTGTTGAAGGGGATTGACCTTAAAACTCAAATCCAATTTTCTTTCCTCCAAACTATTAGCATTTATTATTATTATCATTCAACAAAATGGATATCAAGTTATATTTTGTATCTTCTCTCGTCGTAATCTGAATTTTGAAATTCAGTTTTGTTGAATAAATAATTTTTCTCACCAGTTGTTGATGTTTCCATTTATACGTTGAAAGTATTAAATGGCTCCAAAGAGAAAACAGATTAACATTTTTCTTCGCAAAATAAATACAATTTGTTTTTATCCTTTTTTGACATTTTTTTCCCTCAAAAAATGCAATGAAAACGACTCCCTAATATTATTATCAAGCCAAATGTTGAATCATTTCTTTACCTATCTTCATCCTTTTTAAACATTAATACTCAGAATTTATTTAGATAAATGGTTTAAATAACCATGTCCTATTATATTGATAAAGAAATAAACTTGAAAGATTTTTTCTCTTTTTTCTGTTCAACATTTTCATCCATTATAAGAAACTCATCAATCTTATGATGGTGATTAGAGAAGATGAAATGAGTATGAAAAATCTTTTGAAGAAATGGGAAAAATAGGTTTTCATTCAGGAAAAGAAATGAATATTGATTATGGAAAGATGAGACAGAATTATTATTGTAGTTTTTAAATTGATAAAGAAGATGATAAAAGTGATGAGAGAGAGAGAATGAGAATTCTCAAGAGAAACAATTGATAATATAAAATATGAGGATAAGGTAAGGTTGATGGAGATGATTAGGATGATAAGCAATAAAAGCACATAGAATGAATAATAATATTGTCTTCAGTTGGTAGTTTTTTCGCTTCCCTCAAAGTTTCATCTCAAATTATTGTTCATTCAATCTTCATCCAGTCTTCATTTATTCACTCATTCATCATCTTGCCCAATTTTATCATCAACTTTATCATATTCAGCACTATTCTCATTATACACATAATCATCAATCCCAGTCTAGTTAGACATGAAACTCTCAACCTAAGCGAGTCACTCCAAGCCCCATCAACGTAACTTAAGATTAGCCTCTTGCTCTTGTACTTAACAAGTCTCGCTATTCACAGTCTAATTACATTCACGTGGTAAGTCAATTAAGGCTGACATTGATGAACCTCCCAACCTAAGCAGACTCCCTTCGTTGCATTTAATTCAGCAAGTAGGAAGACACTTTCACGTAAAGTACATTTCATTACCATTTCCATCATTCAACATGCAAGTCTGGCCAAGTCAGCCACTAAAGTATGCTAACCCACAAAAGTCTTTCACACTCTTTCGAGTTTATCATTTCAATCTTTTTCTTGCTCACAAAATGATGATATTCAAATGGCTTCTTACTTCATGTGATTGTAAATATTTACACTCTTTTCCAATCTCAAGTATTTTTGCTTTTAATTACAATTTCAGTTCATTCAGTTCAGCCAGTTTATTCACTTGTCCTATCAACTGATCGACTTGGTTAGATGGTGATTATTCAGTTTCAATCTTTCTTGTTGGTAATATTACTTCTTGACAAATGATTATTGTAACTATTTATGTCCATCAGAATGGTTAGTTAATGTTTCTGTTACTTGACCAGGGTAAATAATGATAATAATAATAATAATAAAGCCGTTTAGATTGATTAATTTTGATTTTGGGTTAGAGTTACTCGAAATCTGATGATTGACATAATGGTAATACCAGTGTTATTAGATGATATTATGTGCTGTTGAGAGTTGCAGTTAATTGATCAACGCTGTTATTAACTTTTTTTGCTTCTTCATTTGATTCTTTTGCTGTTGCAAGTTTCTCAATCAAATTAACCTTGTTACTGATTGCTTTTGAGTTGCAATTGCTAATGATGGTGAATATGATGATAATGGGGTAAGAATATAATGTGAAACAACAGAAAATATTTTTCCCTGCAATCTGATTGCTTGATAACTCGATCAAAATGATCACTGATGATGAAAAGGGAAATGAAAATGAAAACCTGTTACAAGTTGCATTTAACTCCAAGCATTAGTTTTTACACTTATCTTTACCATTGAAAGATTTTTAAGCTTCGGATTCAACTAGTGTTTGCTTTGAATGGTAAATTAATGTGAGAATAAATTTGAGGTTCAAATTGGCAGATAATGATGATGAGGGTGATGATGATGGTTTATCATCATCTTTATGGAAATCTTAATTGTATGGATATTGTTGTGGTGATGATATGAATGGCTGAATAATTGGGAGAACTGTAAAGAGAAAGGAATAAAGATGATAACGAGGGAAGAGGAAAAGGAAAAAGAAAAGCAATTTAAAGAGAGAAAGTTGTTCTTGTAATTATTATCAGTCTGACAATCATCTTTAACCATCATTAACTGAACACACGGGGCATCATCATTATCATCATTCAATGGCTACCAATGAATCCAAATGGATTTGGGCCTGAAACTATCACAACTGTATAATAATAAGTATAAATGGTTGCGATAATAAAAAGAGTAACTTATTAAAAAAAGCGAAGGGAAAACATTATTTGTTAGTGAAAATAGCAATAAATGGGAAATAAACCATTGAAGGAAATAGC